TTGTACCAGCCTGGAGGCTGAGCCTTGGCAGCAGCCATGGGCACGAAAGGACCACTTAGGTCTGCCCTACACGCAGGTCGTATAGGGACATTCCTCGCAGGTCGTATCGTGCAGGGATGTTTGCATTCTTGCTTGGGAAGGTCTTGACGTCTGCACGGTAAACACCTTGATGGGGCCATGAGCAGATCCCACTGTCATCACATGTTATCACTAAGTCACTATGCCAAAGAGTCTTGATATTTGTGACAGCTTGAGCAAGCAGGAAAGGCGAGGAAAGGACAGTGAAATACTTGCTGGACTTTCTGCATGGATTTAACTTTGATTCTGTTTCAATCTTCTGATCACACTTGGCCACACTGCTACAATAAACGCTTCATTTCGCTTCCATGCATTTGGTCGCATATTTTTTCTTTTTTACGGCGTGGATTTGTTTAGATAAGATCCCTGGCCGCATAATTGCATAATGCACGCTCAAAGAGTAACTACTTAATGCAACATCCAGCCGGGTCCAACCCTGGGCCCCGGATTTGTAGACTTGGTATCGGAGTGCTGCGACACTCACCAAAAAGTGTCTTAGGTATGTTGTGAAGCGTGTTGTGGACTTGAAGAACAAGGCCAAGGAACGCCTTGACGCAAAGAAGAAGGCTGGGCTATGCTTCTATTCACTTTGATGCTGGGTGCACTTCCTGGATCAAGCATTGCAGGGCATTCTTGAACCTGGTAGAGGGGGAGAATGTAGAGGGTCAGGCGAAACCCCTTCTATCACTTTCTAGAAGTATTTCAGAGTGACAGCATCTTGGCAGTGTCTAGCGGCTTTGCTTGCAATCCATCAGTTCGTGTTTTTTCCATGCATTTTTGCCTCTGAGTTGATGAATGGTGAAGATCCCGCATACATGCAGATGTTGTGGAGGGCACCGCAGACGGATCAGGAGGGATGGGCCTGGTGGTGTGGAACCTGTGCCAGACCAAGCACTATGCTCACGACTGATGCACTAATGGAACAAGGCCAAGGCTCAACAGCAAGGTTATCATTGTTCTCCGAAAGCACAGCGGACACAGGCAAGCGAGTTGAATCTTTTGGTGCCACTTCAATCGCTTGGAACGTGTCCCCCCCCTTCCTGAGCTCAAGAGCGTAGCGTCACGATGCACCATCCAATCGCAGGAAAGGTTGCTCGCCGAGCAAGCGCAGGAGCAGTCGGCAAAACCGCAGCTAGGAAGCCGTCAGATTACTTTTTGGATCTTTTTGGATCTTTTTGGTCTATATTATATAAAGTATATTTTATATATGTCCTTTGTCTTTCTGCATTCTTTGAAAGGCTCCGGGGCTCCCAAGTGATTTTTCAGACACCTCAGTATTCTCCGAGTTCTTCTTTTCTTGTGTGTGTGTTTTAACACCTGTTTCCAAGGTTTGTGCCTGGTAAGTCTGCCGTAGATTTCACTAGAAGGCTGGATGCTACTAGTAGCTTCTGGCCTTGCTACTAGGAACCAAACCAAAATTAAAACAGCGCGAGTAAAAAAGAGGCAGGGGGTGGCAGCAGGAACGAGAGTCTGCCACCAACGAAGACGCTCTCGATTTGCTGGTGATACTGGGACTGATCATCCCAGCGTACCTGCCAATTTTAATTGCCTCGTCAAGTTTCACCCATGCTCAAACATTCAAATCTTCGGACCCAGCACTTCTTGCAGTTGAACCAAGTCAAGGTCTACAATGCAGCTGGTCATGTAATCGCCAAGCACATGCGTCTAAGTATTCACCGGTACAGTTTCCACGGCTAGGCAACCACAGGCTGCTTTTCAGTTGCATGTGCTTTTCGTGCTCTTGGGTTCTTTCTCTCTTTCTGTTGCTTTTCGCTTCTTGAGGCCTTTCTTTAGGTTTGTTTCAGGTGCCTTTCAGACAAGGGTGCGCCGGCCCAAATCGGCTTTACTTGAATGCCAATGATGGCAATGCCTTCGTCACACCCTCCCCCCTGCCTCCCTGGCCCCTGTTGCTGTCCCACCCGCTATTTAAGGTAACAGAAGGAAATCGCACTCAACACACTTGTGTGTTGGTGCCTTTCCTTCTGTTTCTCCTGTCCTACCTCTAGCTACCGGGTCGGTTTAAGACAAAAGTCCCGCTCGCTAACTACTTTCATTTAACTAAGTGGGCCTCGTCACTATACCTATCTTTGTCTCTTGCCCTCTTCGTGTGCTTTTGTTTTGTTTTCTTTGTCTGTCTTTCTAAGGCTCTTTAGGTGGCTAGTAATCCTCCGGAGCGCCAATATCGGCGCTATGTGTACAAAGCTGTTGCGCAAAATACCGTTTCACGCAAGGGGTACAGAGCGCCGATTGCGGCACAGTGTGTGTGTTAACGCCTGTTTCCAAGGTTTGTGCCTGGTAAGTCTGCCGTAGACTTCACTAGAAGGCTGCATGCTACTAGTAGCTTCTGGCCTTGCTACTAGGAACCAAACCAAAATTAAAACAGCGCGAGTAAAAAAGAGGCAGGGGGTGCCAGCAGGATCGAGAGTCTGCCACCAACGAAGACACTCTCGATTTGCTGGTGATACTGGGACTGATCATCCCAGCGTACCTGCCAATTTTAATTGCCTCGTCAAGTTTCACCCATGTTCAAACATTCAAATCTTCGGACCCAGCACTTCTTGCAGTTGAACCAAGTCAATTCTACAATGCAGCTGGTCGTGTAATCGCTAAAGTGGGACTTCATTGTGATCCTAGCTCTTGCGAGCAACCATCCAAGTGTATGTGTGTGTGTGCCCCCCTCCGTTTCTAGGAGCCATGTACCTGCTGATTTTCTCACACGCTGTGACTCGACTTTTCCTTTTTTGCTTCCATGGTGGTTTCCATGATACTCCCCAAAACACTTCCCACTGCCCTTTCTGCAGCTGCACCGTCGCGAGAGAGTTTGAACAATTTTGCCAACACTTCAAGTACTGTTGCTGACTCAGCCGCTGTGGGTTTCCCTTATCCATTTCACTGTGGATTATGACTAACTGCAAACCTTGTGACTAACTGTGCGAGTGGCCTCATTTGATGATTGGATGTGCAGGTGCGTAGATCCAAGCAGAAGTCTAAAACTCAAATCTGAAGGGGTAAGGAGTCACGGTAAGAAACGTTAAGTTTCTTTTGTGCTTTGTTGGGACCAAGGTACCGGTCATCTGGGTGTGGAAACCTTTTCGGAATTTGATCGGCAGCATCGGCCAAGCACTCGCTCGTTTGGCGAGAAGACGGGCTTGACCTTGGCGAAAGACATGGTCTGACGGCGGCTTTGCCGCTGAGTCTTGGGCCGAGAGAATCTCGACGAAGACATTTGTCCCAGTCACATGGCTTTTGCACGGAACCTGCTGTCCGACAGCTGCCCCAATCGGCACGATCTCGTCACAGCGCCGCAGGCAGATTGAGGGTAGTCCAAAAAACCTAAGTATGTCGTTGGTATGACGTGCATGAATCTCTTGTGGATATTTAGATACACAGATATGATATGTACATCACTGTAGAAACTATGTCGCTATATGTAGCTATATATATATATCTTGATATAATGTATATATACATATACACATGCACTTTTGCTGGGAGAGTGTTTCACCACGCTGAATGTAAATCAAACATCATTTTGCTGCCCGATCCCAAGAACGAGCATCAAGAAGCTCAGTGACTGTTGGAATTGGAAGGGCGCCACATTTTTGAACATGTTTCTGTTCTGTGTGCTTGGGAACGGGGGCAGGCAGACGGGTTGAGCCTCGGGGTTTCAATCCCAAAATGATGCAAAATGGCTGCCTTGAGAACGGAGGAACGCGAGGACTCATAGCCTATTGGCAGATGCTTTTGGCGGATGCATTCTTTTTGTCCATATCTCGACACTTGCAGTTTGTTAGGTGCTTTGTTTGCAGGGCAGACCATGACAGGCCTGATGCTTCCACAGCTAACTTCACGGTCACGTTTTTTTTGTTTCCTGCTAGGTTTCCACCAAGGACGAGGAAAGCTAGAACTGAAGTACCAATGGACGAGCAGGGCTAGACATACAAGCGATCAGACCAAGCACAACAAAAGCTCCCAAAGACTTATTCGCAAAGTGCTAGCTGTGTTGGGGTGTTTTGCTTTCGGATGCCGAGCTTAACCTGTCCTGCAGCCGCCGGAGGCTAAGCCAGAAATTAGGGAATCAGGGAGTGGAAGTTGTGAACTCATCTCTCAGGCTTCAATGTGGCCCGCCGCGCCTCTTGCTGCACAGGCTGCGCAGGTGTGAGCGATGCAAGTGGGAAATGCCAAACTTTGCCAGGCATACTGAAGAGTCAGAGTAAGTATTTACCACATTCATTGAAACATTCAGCAATGCAATGCAATACATAAATTCTGCATGAAGCACACAAGCAAGGCCTGGGCTTCTCCTTTTGAACTCTGGACTTGACCCCTTGTGAGGCAGCTCAGATTCACGGTGCAGCCGCTGCAAAGGCTGCCAAACCCTCAGGAAGTGGGGGAAGTCTTTCTTCGGCCTCGGCGGCCTCAGTAGCCTAGAAGAGATGGCCTCCAACCTACTAGCGATGGCCTCCACCCTAGTAGCGATAGTGTGTCACTCTTTGTCCTGAATCAAGCGCTTAAAACATCAAATTACGTTTTTGTTGGGCTCCTCCTCTCAAGATGCACGTCATGGAGATGCGTCAAGCATGTCAAGCAGCTGCGCACTAAACTCGGCCCTGATTGGCCCTGATTTGCAAAGTTCTCAAAGTGTAGCCATAGAGGATTCGGCTTCACCGCCCCAGGATTTGTTGTGCACATTGACAAACATACAACGTACAAGCGACCAGCTTTGAGCCCGTTGTATGCCGGAATCAGTTTAGTGACATGTTCAATCAGGTTCATAGTCAGCCAAATTTTCAAGCTTCGTTCTTTTGTTAGCCCAGCCGCATCCAGCCGCACTGGTAATTGTTGTCGATACGAAATCACAGTGGGTCGCCTTTACGCTTAGCCAGTGACCAAAGACAGTGGCGACTTCGACATGTCGAGATATGCTGCTGCTGCTGGCGGGATGCTTCGCCTTGGCCGGATGGAGAATCACAGCCTCCGTTGCTCGATTCAGACGTTTGAGACGACACGTCGAGGAACGTGCTCGACCCAACAGCATTGTCAACCTCTTTGAACCTCCTTCGGGCTGAGCTCTGTGATGCTTGGTGTCTATTTGCGCTTCCACTTCCCACACAAAAAAAGGAAAAATACGGTTCGTTGGGGTGTGAATGATCGAAACAAACATCATCCAAAAGAAGGACCACAGGTTGGGTTTGAGACCCTAGGTGGGCGTCATTTTTGGATTCCTCCAACCATGATTTCTTCTCACCAACTCCCGCACCACCGAGAAAGCAGACTAAACTACATCCGTGACCCCTGAAAAGAAAAGACTCGGAAGAGCCTCTGGGTGTTGCAGAGTTCCACAGAGTTGCCCGGATTTGATGGATTTCGCCGGATTCGACCAATTTCCTGCTGGGAGGTGCTGGCCATTTGGGGCCTTCACCGCCTCCTGCACTGGTGGCGTGGGATCTCCATTTTCATCGCCCCTCAGCTGAGTGCAGCGGCTTTGAGGGCGTCGCTCTGAAACTGTGCACTGTCCAGCCTCAAGTCATAGTTTGTGATGCTTGGAAAGCTTTGGATTATATAAGGATGGAATGCAAGTCTACGGAAAAGCTAAGCCAAAGAGCTTCAAGGAGTCGCGGATGTGTCCTGGTGGTCCCCCCCCGGATGTGAAAAAACACTTCATTCTGTGTGGGTCCCCGCCAGGGGTGCATTCTGACTTCCAGGACTCCGCTTCTCATTCCTCACCGCGACGGAAAGGCCTTGGCGGCGTGCGGCGTGTGGGAGTAACAGAATATGGCTCCATGGAGCTCCATGGTTTTTCCATGGTCTGTTTATAGCAACGCCGGAGGCATCCGGAGGCATCCGGAGGCATCCGGAGGCATCCGGGTCCTGGACATTGAAATTGATGGAGTTCGCATTGTGTGTGACGAACTGTTTTTATGGTTTGCGCGGCGGGATTGGCATCGATCTAGTGAGTGGCTCGCTGTTTGGTTGTCCTGTTAACTTGGCCTTCTTGAATTCACCTTCCAAGGCTCCAAGACATGCTTGAACATGCATGAGGACGAAAGTTGCAAGCAAAAGCAACTACCGGTATGTAACTATACATTTAGTCCAAGCTCTGTCCTGGCATTTTGTGCATTAGTTTCAAGAACGGTCTCCCTTGGCCAGGCCGGGCTTCTGAACGCACAGAGGGCTTCATGACGCCGAAGTCAGAAGCCTCGGAGGCGGCGGCGGCGGCGCAAGAAGCGTCGCACAGCCCGGCAGTCGCCCGTTTGAAACATGGGACTGTTGCGCCACCCGGCGACATTCCGGATGCTGTATCATAGCATGCCAAACTCATCCAAAATGCAACTTCCCAAGTATTATGGTGCTGGTTCCATGTGGCAACTTGTGCCTCGGGGCATGCTTTCAGACCCCATAAGGCGTACCAAGACAATTCCAAAAACATGTGTGGAGTTGATTTTTACAGGGATTCCTTTGAATGCCTGTACCCTGCTGGAAGTCAAGATGTTTATTGGGTAGGGTAGAGTAGACGTTGCACATCGCTTAGGGGTCGGAGTCCAGATGATATCGCCTTTGTTGGTCTCACGAAAGTGCGCACCGCATGTGACAGGACTTCGTGGAATGGGCACCATTTTGGCCTTCGTTGCCGTGCGGTCCATGTGCCGAAGGCAACGTCACACCGCAAACGACCAATTCAAGTGTGGTTTTGTGCGCTATATAATATATATATATAGACATCCACAGACTACTACAGACAGGTGTCATTGCTGCACAGAAGCATATGCCCGGCAAGTGTGCTGCTGCAGGAAGCACGTCACCATTCGCTGAACTTCCAAGTGAAGCTGAGGCCACAATTGTCTAGTTTTGTGACCATCCAAAGACTGACCGGACACATTAACATATATTGACCACTATGCCACTATGTCCTGGCGCTGTTTGGTTGACTGTGACTGTCCCTGCACGATGACTAGGTGGTGATGAGGAAAGAGTTCAGGGAAAGAGTCGGTTTAACAGGGCCAGAGTGGTTGATTGCCAGAGTGGTCGCTTTGCGGGGTTCAATTGGAGGCCATCGCTAATAGGTTGGAGGCCATTGCTATGGCCCCTTTGCGAGGTTCAGCCCTATTGGCTACAGTGTGACGCCTTCGTATTTGATGCGCTGCAGCTGCAAAACGTCTCTTCGTGTTGAACGATGGCCGGATGGCACTCCGGTGTGTCCGGATGGCCGAGGTGCGAAACATTGGCTACAAGCACAGCAGGGAGAAAATTCCATCACAGTTCGCCCTGTACGAGTGCGTTGGAATGGACATTGTGTGGCTTGCCAAAAAGCCTTCGCATAGTAGCAAGAAGCTATTAGGCTGGAGGCCATCGCCACTAGTAACAAGGGCATTATATAAATATATATATATATATTACATTACTAACAAGAAGCTACTAGTAGCGATGCCAGGAGCCCCTAGTAGCGTCCTTGCTCCTAGTAGTAAGGCCAGGAGCCCCTAGTAGCTTCTTGTTACTAGTACGTAGTAAGAATGCTCCTAGTAGCGATGCCAGGAGCCCCTAGTAGCGATGCATGCTAGTCAATATTTCACCGGTGTCTTCAGGTGTCACGGTGCTGCTTTTTCGTCACACGGAGCATTTCATTCGCTTTCCCCCACTGGCATGACATGGGCTGACCCCGGCATGACATATACTTGTGACGTGCGACGATGCTTTCCATGTTCAGATGCTGTTTTTGTTCACCTTTTTTCCATCCAGACTTGCATGCTCCAGAGGCGTGATCATCGAAGGATTGACTGAATCTTGGCCCAAAGGTGGAATCCAATTTAATCAATCTTCCAACTCTTTGTTACCCAAAGCATGCCAGCGCTCCAGGGATAGAAACAACATAATCGCTGGTCCAGACATGGAATTTCTGGCATGGATGATCCGTTCATTTTGGTCTTCGTGGATGGCTCAAACTGATTTATTTCTTTACAATCCAGAGATCTCGCCGTATCCAGGCATCATGGATCGCTGGGATTCAGGAGACTTGCCTGCGAATTGGCCTGGCGCAAGGCCTGCGCTGGGACGGTGTCAGTCAGGTGTACTTCATGCACTCTTTTAACGTGCTTTTTTGTGCTGGACTTGTGCAGGTGGGAGCAATCCTGGAAAGTGCCGCGTGTTTTAGTTTTCAACTGCCAGGCAAGACGGTTTTTTTCCATCATCTTTCCGTGTGTGGGAGCTGGAGCAGCGCATTAGCTAAACATGTGGGTTGGGTTCTTAAGACCGGAAGCGGAGACGGTAGGGCTTCGTCAAGGCTTCGATAGGCGCTTCTTTCTGGCTCAACCAGTGGCTGGTAGGGGTGTGTTCTCGGCTCAACCCATGTCAATCCTTTGTTACACTGGCATACTTGTACCGGAAGGCCGGGTAGGCTGTCACGAATCGATTCCACTCCGACATGCCAAGTTGAGGTGCCATACACTGCAGGGAAGATCTTTGGATCATACCCTGATGAGGATGGTGGCTTTAGTGCCTTGGAGTATTTCACGCGCATGCTGCATGACGCATGCTTCCTTTGTGATGTGTTCAGAGCAGACTGCGGATGTGCCCCCGGAACAGGTTTTGGAGGTTGAAGGTTGTGCTAAATATTGGCCTTCCTCCCAGGACAACCCCCTCGTAGGAAATCTTGCAAGTTAAGATAAGTAAGAGAGCCAAAGAATGGGGTGAGATGTTTCGTAAGGTGAAATCACCACTGGAGAAACAATGAAGTTGGCAGATGGCCCATAGAACTCCCACAATCTCATGCCGCCGATGGCTAGCTTCCACCTGACCCGACCTTGCTGCTCGTTTCGGCACGTTGCGAGGTATTCGCAAGCCTTTGGTGGACTAGATTGCCCCATACTGCCCCAACTCAGTTCCGTCCATTGAAAGCAACCCTTACTGTACTTGTGTTCCCTCAAGCCACTATCATTGCAGTTCACTCGGCAACTCGGGGATGCAAGTTCCTTTAATTTGACTCAGGGCTTTTATGTCACCAAGCGACCAAGTGCCGGTTAATATTCAACTTCGAGTGCATTCGAGGCATTCTCAACTCATGTCACCAAGCGACCAAGTGCTGTTTGGTTATATTCAACTTCGAGTGCATTCGAGGCATTCTCAACTACTTCGTGCTGTCACGAGAGGCCAGGGCTTTCCTGTTTTCTTTTGGGGCTTGCTGTTGAGAGTGCTTAGCTTTGAGGCCTCTGCCCTGTTGGCCTCCAATGCTGCGTGCTTTGGGCAAGAAAGTGCAAGCACATTTTTTTAACTAGTCCCGCTGCGTCCAGCTTTGGCCAAAAAAGTGACGCGGCAGGAAGTGTTTTACTGCTGCATGCAATGCTTTGTCTCCCTCTGGCTGTTGTGAATTGTGTGCCGATTGACTTGATGTGAGCCGGGTCCAGAGTATTCAAGGATTCGCGAACTGATGCGTGTTTCTTGTTTCTCCTCTCACTGACGTAATGACAACATGACAACTGTTGCCTTCGGATGGGAGGTCCAGTCTCGGCTGAGGACGCCGGCACTTCAGCTTTGGAAGAGATTCGTTGAAGAAGGGGTCTCCACTAAGGAAGGCATTTCGCTCAAGGCTGGCAGTAAGGATCTACTTGTTTTGGAAGCAAGTGGAGGTTAAGTTCAAGTGGTTAGCAAAGCCCCGACAAGACTTGACTAGGACGCATCAGGAATCATCGGGACTACACACGACCTAAAACATTTTGAATTGAAGTGCATTTCCAACAGTATGTAGCGCCCAAATGCGTGTACATGCTTGTATGTAGACAGACGACTCTTCGGAGTGAGAGAGAGAGAGAGAGAGAATTGATGTTGAATTGATTCGGCTTCCCAAGCGCAATTCCTCGTGCAGACCCTTGTAAGAGCAAATGAGTGCAGAGGAATTGCGCTTTGCTCGCCGCATTTCCAGGTGGTTGGTCGTGTCGAGGACCTCGACAAGCATGAAGTCCCCGAGTCATTCAAGCGTTGGATGCCAAGCGTCATCAACAGACCAAGAGGGAACAACAAGGCAACAAAGCCTGCATACAATGCCAGTGTGGCTTTCTACCTGATTATCCCATTCTGGAAGCCTGAGTATGGGCAAGTACCAAGGTTTCAACAACAAACCAGTTTTGCTGACGAGAAGCGCAACTGTCACTCAGCTTGTCCTTGAGCTGTCACGGTTTGAAGCCTTCCAGACGTTTGGGTAGAATTGTTTGGGTATTAGAAAGCCTGGTGAGTCTAACAATGATGCTTTAACGCTAAGCTTGACCCACACGAGTCTCCTCTGAACAAGGTGTACAAGAAGCGGCTGCCTGAGATGTTGGAGATCGCATTTTGGCTGACAGCTGTGTAGTCACTGTTTTTTTACAGAGACGTTATCGTCATTGGATCATCTTGGTTCAGGCAGAATTGCAAAAAGACCCGGACAGAATAACCATGTCCGTGAGACAATGCACAGATCACAGCCAAGCTAAACCATTTAAAGTACACAATGTAATGCCGTGTCAAGGGCTTTGTGACTGTTGCTCAATCACTGGACTCCCGCTGTAGCTTGGGCCGAGGACTTCGATGTACGCAACTGGAACTACCCCACCCGGGCCGCCATGGTCTCCTACCACCATCGTGCCAGAGAGGCTGAAGTGGAGATCGGATATTTGCTTGAGGGCAAGGCGTGCAGAGATTTTCCAAAGGGCATACTGTTTCAAGTTCAAGATGTTTCAAGATGTTCAATGGGGCAGCAACTTGCTGCACCTGATCAGGCTGATGATGAGCTCCCAGAACAGTCCCTGGCTCAAGTTGATCGGAAGTGGGTGTAAATGGCCCATGTGTGAGGTCCTTCCCCGAGGCGTTATATTAGTTTCCAAGGCACTGCTTGGAGCACGCCACCAATGGTTTCGGATATTCTCTCACAACAAATGTCTCAGCAAGGTCAGCCGCGAGGCACACACACATACATCATACAACCATGTGCGTTAAGGATATTGGGCTGCTTTACAGAGACTCGGTTGCAGGACAGCGACATTAGGCTGCCAGGTACAGACGGGATATGTTGTAGCAATGGGGCACCTCAATTAATTAGGAGGTATCTCGGAACTTGGCCAACCTCTTGAAGGTTGATGCTCTTATTTCATCTGGGGCTTGGATTCCTGGTACTTGTAGTGAAGTGTGAAGTTTAGTAGGTCCGGGAGTCATAGTATGTCCTTTGTGGCTGGAGTGTTTTTGTTTTTTTCCGGCTTGCCGCTGGTATGCCGATTCTAGAGTTGATTGTTGAGGTGAACAACATGGACATCATGGCAGCAAGATGGTTGACCTGAGCTGAAGCAATGCCAGAGCAGCTCAAGATGCAACGAGTGACTTCTGGACGAGCCTGACGGGGTCAACGGCTTTGAGCAGTGGCAACGGCGTGAAATGGAATGGGGCAGCTGCAACAGGTGAAGCATTGCCATCACGTCCTTCTTGGAATGCAGCTCCCAAAGGTTGTGAGCTTGTGATCAGGTGTCGCACCCGTCCCCCCCGTGCAGGAAAATTGCTGCGCAATGGCCGAGAGCATTGGCGCATGTCACCGAATAATGATATGGTAGAGCCTGTTGGGTGTCCATTCAGTAGCTGCCACAAAGTCTCTTGGAACTCCTACTGGGCTTCCGTATGTAGTTTGAGCTCATCCCTTGCTTGCAGAGGATACAGTGGATCAGCACATCATAGAGTTGGAAAGTAGAATCAGATTCACAAGGCAAACTTGACTCCAGCTTCTTGTTACTAGTAGCGTCCTTGCTCCTAGTAGTAAAGGCCAGGAGCCCCTAGTAGCGTCCTTGCTCCTAGTAGCGATGCCAGGAGCCCCTAGTAGCGTCCTTGACTCCACTTTCATGCCATGGCAATTCACGATTCTTCGACTTGCTCTCGTTGCTTACGGTGATGCTGCTTGCACCCTTAGGCGCAGACAGCACAGGCCCACGTGCAGGCAGCCCAGGTGAGATGTGGTCCGCGAGCGGTTGGCGGGTTGGCAACCTCCTTCGTAACTGATTCATCACCCGCGTTCATCCACCATTTCTACGCAGAAGGCAGCACATTTCCACATTGCCTCCCAAGATTTCCCAACTCGTTTTCGCTTGAGGCACCTCATTTGATAAGCTGTTGAGCTCGAGCCACTCTCAAATGCCAGTGATTTGCACTTTTGGAACACTTCTTTCGGTCAAAGACTCCCAAAACTTCAACTAGCATCCCCACAGGCTGCCAATGCTTTGGCTCAACAGGCTGCAGAGGCCCAGATCCGTTCAATGACGGGTCCCCAGGCAAGCCATAGCTGTGGCATGCTGTGACCAGAGCTGCCATGAGTGACATGACTTGCGCAGCTACTCTAAGTGAGGGATTTGCTTTTGATCATGCCAAGCCTCAATTGTCCAAGCAGACCTTGAGAAGAAAATTCGATTAACAGACCGAAGGCATTCCGGCTTATTTATTCGCCAGAGGGGCAGCTGATTATGGAGAACATGCGTTGTCACGTGTTGTTGAAGCGCTTGGATCCATGTGCGACTCTTTGGACCCCAGCAGAAGCGAAAAGACACGGTGAAAAGAACGTAAGGCGATGAGTCACTGAGTCAAGTCAAAATGCCAAGTCCATCATGGGCATAGCTGAGCATATCTAACTAAGAAGCAGGCCATCTCATCTCTTTAAGGTCGCACGTTTGGAGAAAACTCAAGGTTGGAAAGGTTGGAAGTTGAAGACTTTCAGTGCCATGTTTCAATCTTTTTTCCTTCCCTCTCTCTTCGTTGATTATATATTATTGTATAAATATTTATTTTCCCACCCAATGGTTGGGTCTCCGGGGCGCCCCTGATGGACTCAGCTTGCTTGGCGACTTGATTTCCCGGCCCTCTCGGAGTGTTGCAGTGGACTGAATGGTGCAGGCCGGCTGCAAGCTTGAATGTTGGAGGCCTCCACCCTAGTAGCGATGGCCTCCAACCTAATAGATCTAATATCGATAGGCTTGAATGTTGGATTCCTCAATCCAGTCTTGTCCACGAAGAATCGTTTGGCACATTATTTGCCGGTGCAACATACATAAAGATTGTACCGACCAGTTCTCGTGTTGACTGCCACCTTTGGTGTGGATTACAGTTGGGAGGTTGCGCACGGGAAGTCCAAGCTGCGCGATGTAGTACGTTCAGCGGTGGTCTTGGGTCGAGCAGTGCCTTGGCAGCGATGAGCTCGAGAGTGGACCGGCGTTTGGTGCCCGTGCCGTGGCCCTGCCTCCTTACTTGATCAAGTAGGCGCCTACTGAATTATCGCAGACGAGTCGGACCGCGCGTCCCGTGATCCTCGCGCAGCAGTGCAGCGCGGAGCGACCACTGTTCGAGGCCAAGAACGTCTAAAGAGCAGGAAGGGGGCGTGAAAAGTCCTGAACATTCCGGAATGGTCTTCGGCGCGTGAACTGTCTCACGGCCTCCCTGGCACTCGTGGCCAGTGCATCCGGAATACCCAAAAACGTGGCACCGCCTTTCTTGTGAATGCCGATTTCAAAAAAGACAAAGTCAGAACGCCTCCAATCAGAAAGGCCAAGGCCCTCCAAAACGACAGCCAAAGTGGAACACAAAGGCTTCAACAACTGAGTGATGGGGGGCTTAGCAAACAAATCGAAGAAAGGCGTCAGCCTACGCCCCGCAAGGGTGTCAATTGGAAAGGCAAGCCCGAGGCCAGCTAAGATGAAAACCATTTCAACATCAGAAACCCAAAAAGGACACCATTCCTGCGACTCCCACTCAATGAACAGTTCAACCAGGCTGCGAGCAAATGCCGAAGGGTACGGCAGCTGCATGCCGCTGCATGCCGGTAAGCATGGCCATCCAGCCAATGGGAAGGTGCTCAGTGAGAAGCTCTTCATCTACCGTTCTAACTACCGGGGCCTCAGAAGTCCGATGGCCAGAAGAGCCAGGATCGGTGACATCGGCCACTGCAAGGTAGAAATCCCGGAGCTGGTTCAGGTGGGCCCCAAAGAAGTCATATTGGCTGGCTTTGGCCAGCTGCAAACAAAGCGAATCCCTGTGGAGGTTGGTATGGACAGCGGCGTAGTCGGCCCGGTCGTTCCAGTGGGAAATCCAATTTCATATTCATCCTCAATTGAGGATTTGCTGAGGTGCGAAGGGATCCACCGAACCTGAGTGACTAGGTGCCGACGGTTGTCCAATTCCGCCTCGATGAAGGTCCAGAGGTCAAGCTCTTGCTCAGGGAGCCGAATCAAGTCTCCCTGGATCAGCCGTTCAAGGGTGTCAACATCGTTGGCCGAGTCAGACCAAAGGCAGATCGGCATATTTACTCGGTTTCCCCAAGCCACAGCAGAGCAAAGCGCCTGCAGCTCTGCACGATGTGCGGTTTGTTTGCCTCCACGCAGAGGTGCTGCCGCAACAAGCATACCAGACGTCGCATTCTGTACTGACCAGGCTGCCAGGAATGTATGGGTTCCGATTCTTCGGCAGGCACCATCGGTGAAAAGGTGCTGCATGCAACCAGCTCCAATTTCGAAGGTGTCATAATCCAAGGTGCGATCCGGCATGTTTTCCAGATATGCCATGAGTCTCAATGATTCAGGGAGCTTTGGCACCAAAAGATGATATTTGGCGCAATCTGGCAAATCGGCAAAAACATTTGGAGTAAAATTAAGCTGTTCCCTCAGTGAAGCAAATTTGGGGCAGCAATGCCAATGGACCCTATCGTCGGGGACATTGCAAACCTGACACAAAAAAGATTTGGCGGGGTCGAACTTACTCTGTTCACTGGCAGAAAGGAAGGCCCCCTTTTGAATCGCCGAGACACGTAAGCGAGAGCGAGGCTCTAGCTTAAAGTGGTCCAGACGAGAAAGCTCGAGTTCAATACCGTCCAATTGGCTCATGTGGGCATGTTTGACATGTCGTGCAACATACTGTGCCCAGGCATCTTCTAATCGGGCCTGTAGGTGCCCCCTGTCCTGAGTCAGCAAATCATGCAGGCATCCATGATGGTCAGCGATCCAAGGTGGGTCGACCACGGCCCACCCAATCAGTCCAAAGAAGTTGAGCAGCTTTGTGTAAGGACCAGGCAGAAAAGGGCAACCGAAATACCCGAAGTGAAGCCTCCACATGTGGATCAGGTCATGTGGATCAGGTCGGGCACTTTCTGAAGGATCCTGCGGAAAGTGAAAACTGCAGTATTAGAGAAAGCGACGCCAGGAATTTGCACCGGCACATTGAAGCCCAGTGGCTCGAATAGCGGCCCTTCTGAGCATGGTTAGATGTCCCTCTGCAAGCAAACATGCTGAGGCACCATGTAGAGCCAGGGGCCAAAAAACGGTGGCCAGAATCTGGATCTTGCGCAGCGTCGGAGCCACTGATCTAGATAGTTGCTTCCATTTCGTTTCCAGTCCTTCGAAGCGAGCTTTGAGTGCCCTGTTGCGGACGGAACGGCACATCGTCATGGCTCCACCAAGCTCTTTGGTATCCGTGATGATCTTGAGTCCCTGACTTTGCCAAATCTTGCGAACATTGGCACTGGTGGACCAAAAGAAGGTCTTGGCAGTATCAAGAGTGAGCCCGTAGCTGGTGAACCACTGTTGGGTGCCTTCGACTGCCTGACAAATTTCTTCCTCTTGACCGCCGTGGAAGTCCAGGTTGTCCACAAATGACAAACAGTGCACCCGTGGGTGGTAAAATTGCATGTATGTGTGAAAACCCCAACCAATGTGGATCATGGTGAGGATGCTCAGTGGGCACCCCTCTGGAAAACCCCTGGTGGATTTGATCGGGAGGCTGACCGTGTGCAACACTTGAAATCTCCTTTCAAAAACATTCAGGAAGGCGGTCCAGGGTGCACGAATGCATTTGGGTGTGCCGAGATGCTCTGCAAGGACAAAAGAGGCCTGCCGTTCTATGCAGTTGAAGCATTTCTGGATGTCGGCCGAACACCCGTGCCAGTCAACCCCCTGTGCAAGCGCCAACTCAATCCAGCTTTGAATCTCAAACCAGACCTGTGAGGTCTCAGGCGCCTACTGAATTAAAAAGTAAGATTAAGTAAGCTACTAGCTACTTAAGCTACTACATATGGACGCAGGATAGCTCATGCTTCAAGGATGCCCCCCGCCTGGGGGGGTCTTCCTTGAAGAAGCGCTCGCACTAATGATTTGGTTTCTAGATTCTTAGGGAAAGATTGTATAACTTTGTAGTGTAATCACTGGGAGGCCAGGGTTTTTTTGGCGGGTTACCCTTGCAACCAACAGAATGCACATCACCTCGGTAGAGGAGCGGATCTTCCCAAACAGCTCTGACAGTTTCCAGGTTGGCTTGCTGG